TCAAAATTTTATATTTGATAATGGAAATCCAAACTAGTCTTGATTCACGGTGTTGATGAGCTCATTCGTGCCACCATCCTTATCTAATTTCAGTAATAACTATTTCATACTGGCCCAATTTTTTTACCATATACAGTCAGAATTCCAAGTTTTTTTAGTCATACTGTTGGAAATCCAACCTCATCAACCGGTATGTGGCGAGATAAACTAGGCCATATTTTATTTTAGTAGCCATAACTGCCTGGATTTCCAGATTCTGTTTCTTCATATACAGTTGGAATTCCGGGGTATTTTCCCCATCATACAGCGCTGGAAATCCGACCACATCAACAGGGGGTGCAGATATAAACTGGAATGGCCCATTGCAAGTACAGTATCAGGGTGGTTGTTTCAGTTTTTTTTTTGTACTATGATACATGTAATAATATTAATATGAGACTAGCGGTAGTCACCACACAACTGTTGTCATCTGAGACTGCTATACATTAGATTTTTTTTTGTATGACCATAGTACTTCCAGCAACAGCCAATCACAAACCTTACGTTGGCATGTGTGTTTCAACAACTGAATTGTACTCATTTTTTGTTTTGGTACAACCCCCAAAATTTGTCTCAGACTGTGTTTACTTTTCAAGTTATAATAACCATATCAGCCCATATTCAATTACAGTAAATATTCAGGATAATCATTCCATCAAAAAGCCAAAGTGCGATGTACTATTAAGGTAAAATCACCTTCTCTAATATTCCTCCATTCAAATTCAAACCAATTGCATGACACTGTTTACTTCATCCATTTCAAATGCAAATGTGTACATGTTAACGTACAACTCCTTAATAATTCATCCAATCGAATCACTACGCTTATTTTCTGAACACATGGCTATTGTATAGCAAAGGACCGGAATCAATATTATTTATTATATACCGGATTCTGTCGTAAATTCGCCCAGGGCCGTTAAACGTTACTTTTTAATCCAGCTAGAAAAAAATGTATACAATTTTAGATTAGCTTCTGCAAGAGTTTCTTTCGTTTTGGGTGGTCCAACTGTCGGTGATGAAATTCGGCGTAGGTGGATTTTTCAATGAAAATATCAGCAGTGAAACCGCCCAGGGCGATTTTTCGGATGGGCGAATTTACGGCAGAATCCGGTATATATAACAGTTCTAGGGTAGGGTATATAAGACAATGTTGTGAACTAGTCCAAAGTAATAGTCCAAAGTGCAGAATAACTTTTCTATTGGCTCTATTTAGCTGCACATGCAATTAAGCAAGTGATACAGGAGTATCTGAGGTCAAATATGTCACATTTAAAGATCCAGTGTAAATACAATGTTTAGTTTATGTACACTTCTATTCTGATACACAACCTGCTGTATGGTGAGAAATAAATTTGATTCTGTACGAGTAAACGTTTGTCAAAGTTGTCAATTTCAACGACAGACCGGGTTCAAAGGCCAGCAAATCAAAAAATATAGTAACATAGCTACCAACGTAATTTCAAAAACCCTCAGAAATTACTCTGAGGGCGCACTTTACCGAATAACACACTGAAGACATGTAATATTCAAACCACTGGGCTATAAGATTCAACCTAATTTCTGCAAGAATTCAAACTTCCTTTTGTTTTTGCATAGTTTTGTTAAATTAAATTAAATTAAATTGAGTATGAAAAATATGTCATTCCTGCACTTTTCAAACATAAAATAATCTACTTTTACTTACAGGGGTGAAACTTTTAAATATGGAGATTAAAGCCATTCCACATGTGATGTGGAAATAAAGTCAATGTTCAGAAAACATAAATTAAACTGGGGTAGAACGGGATAATAGAAAAACTGCAAAAAATTGCTTCTCTAAAAATACTTTTCACATTTGCAGGAAGAAACTTGTAGCATAAATATTGCATCCCCCTTCCTTAATTATACAGCCATTGAACATGTTTTTCTTTTCAGAAATTTAAATAACGTATCATTACTGTTCACATAGAAGGTCAAGTTCTTGATACGACTATATTAACACATTGCCTGCAGAAAGCATCTATATGTGATAATGGTTGATCTATTGGCATAGATTTGTTTATCAACTCATCTATACATATCCTAAACGCTCACCTGTTTGACTGCAATGCTTATCCTCAGTGAATTGACACTGCCTTCTATTAAAACCTTTTCTTTCTCATTACGACTAACAACTACAGGTGTCAGAAGTAACTCTTTACTAGTCCTGTAATTGCGAACATGAAAAAAAAAATAACGATGTGATACAGTCAAACCTGTGTTGGCGACAACCTGTTCATAGAGACCACCTTTGTAAAGTCCCTTCGCAATTTACACGCTAAAGACACTGAATATAGTGACCACCTGTCTAACACGACCCACGACCAATCTATTGTAAACCTATTCACACTTACACCTTTGTATAACGACCACCCACGTTTCCATCAGATGGTCGTAGCATAAAGACAATAGTTACTTGTGAATCAGAATCACAGGAATTTGCCACATGTTTTGTTAAGACTACCGTGTATACAATTTTTCGGACTATACTGGAGGGGGGGGGTGTACATTGCAACTTGGGTTGTGAAATTGCAAAGAAGTCACAATGAATTTCAATTGAATATAACAATCTATAAGTTTGTTCAAGCAATAAACTTTCTTGTGATTCATAACTGTGACGAATGTCAAACATTAAATCATGTTTATGTTGTATGTCGTGATGGTGGCGTTTTGTGTTTGTCTTATGGCGATAGATAGGCAATGTTGTTTTTGGCGATAGATAATTGTTAAATATAGAGTGGCAAGATGTTTCTTTTAGTCAGCACTAGGGAAGCGGACTTTGATAGAACCCGATCTGAACGTTCATGTGATCAAATGTGGATGTCCGATCTTGTAGGTACCACAGTAAGCCATTGAATAATATTGCATCATGGG